AACAGAAATTCCTGGCTAGGTTTCATGTGAACTCTGGTTCATTGATGCATGAGAAAAGCTTTCCCAGCAGGCTCTAGCAGGAATTGGATTTTTGTTTCTCTGTGAACACCTAATGCCTGTCTTCATCTTCTTTGAACATTCTTCTGAGATGAAACCTTGTAGCTGGTGGTGTTTGCCCTTAGCACAGGCTTATGACTGACTTCCACAGAACCATATGGCTGCATTTATCATAACTCCAAGCCAGCACAGAAACTGTGTTATGCCGTGAATTTGTCTTAGTTTATTTTCTGGGCAGAACTGCAATAGAAGAAATTTCTTAGGAAGAAATAGAAGTGAATTTCCGCTTCCTTAGAGTCATTATTAATGCTATCACAATCCTGGAAAAAGCTTCAAGATCACAGCAGATGAAATGATGATCAAAGTTTGGGGGAAAGAAAGGAAGAGTAGATTGCTATTATCCCAGCTATTACCCATATGTAAAAACAGAGGAAACATCTGTGGGAAATGGAAATAAGCCTCTTCTACCAGATTATTCAAATGTTTCAGAAAAGCACTTTACATATGGCAACACTTGCTTGAATTTGGCTTGGTTTACACCAAGGACCTGCCTTCTTTGCAAACTGAACACTGACATCTGAGAAAGAACAAAAGTCCTACTAGGGTTAAAGTGTCTTCCTTACTGCTTGTGTGCTCTTTCACATCTGCCTCTTGCAGGCCACAGCTTCACTGCTGGCTGCTGGAGAGAGAATGGAGAAGTCAGGCATAGCAACTTGCAGCTGAAGCTTCAAAGAACAATTCTAATCTGCAGTGAAAGTCACCAGGACATGATTTGAAGGACTGAATGCTGACAAAAACCCCAAACTTCCTCTCCTTCAGTGCGTTAGAGTCAATCTTCCTTTTCATCACCCCTACCTTCTTGGTGGTACAAGAAAGAATGTAGTGCTACAGGATCTAAAGGGCACCTGTTTTCCTCTTATTTGTTTCTCCAAATCCAGTTTTGGGCTGCTAGTTCTGGACCCCAGAGAAGGAGTAGTTAATTTCTGCACATCTAGGATCAAAATAATCAGAATAATTAGATGGCTCTGCCAAGCCTGCTCCTTTGTGCTCCTCTGCTATGCTGCACTCCGTGAAGATGAACAAGGGCAACAAACAAAGCTAAGCCACACTTTGCAGAAATGAGCAAGAGAGTCCAATGAACGTCTTGTGCTGGGTGAACAAGGAAAGAAACCTGGCTCAGTTGTAGCTACTCATACTGCTCACTGCAGGACTGTCCCACTACTTACTTTCCAGGTAAGAGCAAAACGAGATCTGTGTATTGCTGGAAAAATATCAAGTAGTTCTGTTGCCTTACAGGCTTCCTCTGGGTCTCTCAGGACTAGTACTCACACAGACCTATGGTACAGTGAGTGACTCGGCTCTTGATATTGTTGATGTTCACTTCTGAAGAAGGCAGCACTTGGGAGTGAACTTGGCAGCCCTTTACTGCACTTATACTGAATTCAGTATTTCTGATGCAATATTCCTGCTATTACAGTTCTCCTCTCTCCAAAGGAAGGGAGAGCAGAGGAAAGCATCTGAATTTTGCAGTGAGGACCTGAAATGCTTATGTGAGCAGTAAGGATTTGTATTACACTTCCTTATCTTTGCTCTTCTGGAATTATATCACTAAAAAGACAGTCAGGAAAAGCTGTCTCTGAAATGAGGCACTCTAACCTTAGCCAATTCCTATCTTAAATAATGAATAAATTACACCTTCCAAGCAGAAAAATCAAAGGAATGTAGAGCACAGCTACTCCTCCAATCTTTTTACTACTCTTGCTGTCTTCATAAAGTTGGAAGAGAACAATTGCTCTAAATGTCTCAAAAGGCACACAGAGAGTATTTAAAAAAGAAATATAGTTTAAGAAGGCATTATTTACCCAAGGATTAATTCAGAAGTTGGAACAAAGGTTGAAATTTTGTCTGGACTGACTGAGCATAGTCTCTCATATGCAACATGCCACCTTTCACAGAACTGAGACCACCATTCACAGATTCACAAAGGCAGAGGATTACACCTTTTGCCCAGAGGAGGGTGATGCTTTATATTTAATGGTACTCATTTTCACACACACCTTTTTGCAGATGGTCTTCTCTTCATGCAATCAGCATTATCAGAGATACTGAATGCAGGCACTATACAGTCATCCAGGTCTTTGTTTTGCCATGACATTCGGTATTGTTTCCTCACCTATTTGAATGTGACAGAAAGAATCTCCAGAATCTGTTAAAATCCCCTTCTGGTTCAACTTGACCTGCACTTACTGGGATGGCAAGCTCAGCTGCAGCCAAGAAACTGCAGAAAGAAGTTAGCTTTTAACTTCGCAAGGTTTTTGTGCTAGCTTTATGATTTTTTCTTTTTTTACTGAAGTGTTAACTTGTGATTTTATTTAAGAAAGTTTGAAGAAACTTTAGAAATCATATCGAAAGCTTTCTCATCTGCATAGGCCATCACAGATAGAAAATCTATGGTTTGATTATTTCTAGCCTCTGTCACTAGTAGAGCATATGCCAGTAGCCAAGGTTTCTCCCCATGCTGAGTCAGTCCCATGGGTGATGAGGTGCATACAATTCAAAAGGATTTCACAAATAATCGCAAGCAGTAAAGGACAAGAAATTATCTCCATTTTCATCGTAGACACTCAGCCTCTAGTCTTCTAGCATTTCATCTGTCTCCCACCTTGCCTAACCAACCAGTCTAAGTTCCTTCTTATGGACTACTCCATCTACCCATTTGGACACCCATTCCTACCCTTTCTGTACTCAGCCTCTTACAATTTTCTCCTCTACCGTATTAAGTTTAATAGAGCATGCCCTAAACTCAGCTCTCCTGAACTTTCTCCCAAACAAACGACAAAAACCCTGAATCAATCTCCTCACAAAGAATTCCTATTTAAATACAACAGAAGTTTTCTAACATTGCAAAAGTATGAAATTTTCAGAAAATCTGGGGACAACAGAAAACAGAGAATACAGAATATAGAAAAAATACAGAAACAGAAAACACCAGCATGCTTTATCTATAAGTAATTTAAATACAGTAATTTGCTAATAGTGAATCTTCTATATTTTCAGATTTTGACACCTAGGTAACTTAGGGAAGAGGACTACCAAGTTAGGTAAAAGGAAAACAGACTTCTTACTTCAAACTAAGCTGATTTTTCAACAGGTACACTAACATATGTTTGTACATCTGAGAAAATAATAAAGCCAACAATACATACCACTAAAATACACTGAGATTTCCAGCTGTCTTATGATAATTAATGCACACTGAATACATCTCCTGAAGCAATAAACAACTATTCTTTAGGTCTAGGCCTATAAAACATTAGAATTTCTATGTAAAATGTATATTTCTATAATCATTCTTAACAGTAAAGTTGTCAAATTGATTACATAAATATTCTCTCCATAAGCCATACAAATTAAGAAATAGTATATCAGAACGCATGACATGAAAACAAAGAAACAAATATATAATGATTCTAGCTGTGACACAGTATGTTAGTGACACTGATAAACTGAATCTTCATGCTGATAGCATGTTGTAGTCTCAAATCTATTATGCTTTGGAACTGATGTATTATTATCTCTGGACAACTTTCACACCAGGAGATGATCCCTGCTAGCATAATTTTAAAAATGAAGGGATTACAAACAAGATAAATTTCATTGTATTGTTACCTGAATTAGTCTCAACTAACAGAAATTTCATGTAACATACACCATTTGCTAAAATACTTACATTTGTTGATCCTATTACAAACATATAAAGCATAAACCAGGCACAGTTCTATTAACTCTACTACAGCATTTATGCATCTGAACCAGTATTGTATGGTAATTGTTCTACAGGGAACAATAATATTTGGCTTTGGTCTGTTTTAATACACTATGCTTACATTTTTACTTTGAAGACAATATACTGGGATCTTCTGGCAAAAATCTGCAATATCTTTGAGTTTGCTGATAATGACTGACTAATTGAATTTAACATACAATTCTCTTCCTGCTGTTGATTTTAATTTGTGGCTAGGTGAAATCTTAAGAGTTTTTGGGAGAAGCAGATCGATGTACTGTGTCAATATATATTACAGATTAATTAGTAGGCAACTGCAGATCTCCTCATTTAATCAAATAGCACATTGTCCCTTTTATGAAGTTAGGAGTTACCATTAACAAAACAGAATTTGGACATAAAAATTTGATTTTTAGTGGAGTATAAACAAATTAACAGAGAAAGGTAAATTTATGATTAACAATTCAAAAGTGGTTCTGCTTTATCAGGGTTTTTTTCTCTGTGTGTGTGGAACAGAAATGAATTATACTGATTTGGCATGAGAATGCCAAGAAATAGTTCAAAATTAGACACAGATAATTGACAAAGTTAAGTAGATATGAAGCAATTATAAAATAGAAACTTTACTAAAGCAAATTGAAACATTAATTTATGTGGAATTCTCTATTTAAAGTTACATCTTTATCAGCAATTTCAATCTCAAACTAGCTGGCAAAAATATTAGAGATTAGGTATGTAACTCCTGCTAACTTCTTTGATTGGTTATTCTTTATCCTATAATATACGTTATAATATTTCTAAAAGAAATATTTGCCAAGTAGTAAATACATTACAAATGAAGGGTTGGGCCTGGTAAATGTATAATCATGCAAAGAGTTTGCAACAGCCTGCAGAATTGGGCCATCGAGAATTAATATAATGTCAATTGCATTCTTAATGTCTTAAGTCAAAGCAAGCAGGATTTAGCAGTCAAAGCTTAAGGTTTTGTATCTGCTAGGAGTCAGTATGACAAATTATTCAGACTAATTTTTTAAAAATCAGACATAAGGATGAGTACGTTTGTTCCAGATGTTTTCCTGTTGCAATAATTTTTTAAAAAATCACACTTTGTCTTCTGTGTCAACAGTTAGCATCATGCAAACACTGAAGAGTCACATACCCATAACTGCTATCGTGATATGTTGGAGAAAACACATCCATCTCTATAAGGTTGTCATGACCATTTGCAAGGACTGCTTGACTTTCTAATTCTCTATACATAAAGATACAAAAAAATGAAATTAGAGGTGCAATTTCAAATTAAAGAACGGGATGATCCCACAAAAAAGAATATACTAATTCTGCCACATAACTTTGTGCAAAACTGACTGTGGGATTTATCTGCCTTCCATGCTGTCCTCTGAACTAAATACTGGATTGTAACCTGAAGACACAGTGTTATAAGGCTAGCTTTAGGTGGTCATTACCCTTTGGTGATCCCTTATTTATGTGCAAGTCCTTGAATAAAATTCCTGACTGCTGCCTGTGGCAAGGCAGGCTTAAGGACTGAGCAGTGCATAGTGGGGGATGTTGTTTACTTGATGACACTGGACCAGAGATGAAGTAATAAAACTGAACTGAGACTATTAAAAGACAGTCTCTTGCTGGCTATCTGGCACAGCCAGCCAGCAAGAAAAATATGCAGAGAGCTGGCTACCAGAGTGAATGGGGATCTCATGTTTTGCAAATGACAATGCACAGCAGCAGGAGAGGCAAAAGAAGCATCAGAGTCTCTGGTTCTCTCAGGGAATAGCAAGGAAATGAGGAGGAGAAATTAAGTAAGTCACTATGATTTTTTTTAGAACTGCCTATTTCTTTTGTCCTATCTAAAATGGGGAATGATTTATATGGGGAAAAAATACTTGGGTCCATTCTTACTTCAATGACTGTGTACCTTTCAAAACAGGGATGATAAACTCAAGGAACACTGCAAATGATACAAAATTCTGGACTACTGGTGCTTGCCTAAGAGCCAGGGGACAAAATACACAGCATGATCAAATTCCAAATACTTATAGTGACAGCAAGGGATATTTGTGCAGGAAAGATGCCAGAGAGATCAAGCAAAAATCTAAAGTAAGACACTACTGACATCAAAGAAAGCTTATAAGCATATGGGCTTGGTGTTTTAGGACTCAAACAGATGCTCAGTGAGAACCTGACAGTAAGAGAATGTCAGAAGAAAACAGAACTTTTTTGACTTTAGTATTTGAAAACAATATTTAATTTCTAATGTCTGTATATAATAATCCCATAATTATGGCATGTCAATTTTTCAAATGCACTCATGCTGTCAGCAATCTAAGCAGAGTCCTGTTTCTTCAACTTGCAGATCAGCAATGTGAGCACAGTGCTTAACAGGGTCTTCAGAAGAGCAGGACTTGAACTCCATCCCCAGTTTCTGCCTTTATTTTGTACCATGCACCTTCTCAATAGAAGTAACATCTCTAATCAAGTCCATGTGTGCAAACCTGGCAGACATACAGATCAGAACAATTTGAATTTGATTAAACCAGGCACTGTTTTAATGTGTGGAGTGTGTAAAATAGGTGGTTTGAGCAGACTTTAACCTCCAGCAACACTGTGCTTTTGTGGACAATCAATCAGCCTCTACACAAATTGATTTAAAACTTCCCTGGAAACTACCAACACCTGTTCCATACCTTAATACTGAAGGCAACTGGATCACTGGCAGTCCACCTCAATAATGACACATGCGCATGTTCATCACACTTTTAGAGTTTCTAAAGTCTTCACATTCTAAAATGAACTTATGAATCAAGTTTACAGAACATTTTTGAAGTAACACATTCCAGAAAATATTTTGTCTGTATGATTTCTGAGGTATTCCAGTACTTTAATTAGGTTCCTCAAAATATTAAAATATTTTCTCGTCATCAAGTATTTCTTCAACCAATTCCTTCTTTTTTTCTTGGTAAAATAAGTATCTAAGTAGTTGAATACAGTAATGTTCCTAAGACTCTACTATTAATACTCAGTTGTAAGAGAAGACTCAGCAGTATCTGTATAAACTATGAAAAACATGTTAGTTTCTTGGCTTGTTTCTATAAAAAATTCACAGTCCATCATACAAAATGCAACCATCTTTCAAATGAGGTACGTTTTACAGAAAATACAGCAAGAAAAAGCAAAGCTCTTTGATTCACTGGCGTGTTAGCACAGATTCTGAATAAAGTTATATAATATTCTCAGAGATTTTTTCCTTGACTGGAATATGTAAATTACCTCTTACCAATAAATTGATCTTTTACATTCAATGATTGAAATTAATGAAATACTTCCTAGGAAATGCACCAAGAGATGCTACCAGCTTATTTTAATTTACAAATGTATGAGTTCTAACATACTTTTCCTCTGTGCATCTCTAACATTCATGATTGACCGTGCATTAGAAAAATTCTGCACATTCAAATATTTAACAGAGAGAGCACTTAATGAAGTGATTTACTATGTATTTTTAAATATCAGTAATTTAGGTCCTACTAGAACTTAAAGTCATGAGAAGGTCACTACTGATACTAGTAATCAAGAAATCATTACTAAAACTAGTAGCTGAATGAAAACTTAAAGCTCAGTGATAATACAAAACCCACTAATATTTAATTACTAAATGATCTTTTATCATACTCAGACATCTGACATGTAGTCATACATTTACATGACTCTGGCTGTCCAATCAGTAATTCAAAGAAGAAAATGGAAAGATTTTGATTTCTTCAGAAGTTCATATTATTCTCTATTGCTGGCTCCTCCAGCAGATCTGTTTGCTCTACAAATGAACCTAACTTACATATGGCTAGGGAACAGTCAAATAGTAAAGATCAGTAAATGTTCAATGAAAGGTCTTGCAGTCTGCAGGAAACCTACAGGAAATATTCTTCTATTGTTTTGGGTCTTTTTGTTAATGTAGATTCTACTGAGCACAAATAGAGGGACGACAATTTCTGCCTCTGCTCGGTAATCTCATTGTTATTTAAAGACGGGATCAAAGATTAAAGAAACATTCACATAATTCATTCAAGTTGTAGTTTTAGGTCCTCATAAACATTTAAGAGTCTTTTTATATTTAAAAAAATGTGAATTGGAGTTTCTGTTGGACATCATTGATCTGTAACCTCACAGTTTTTAGCCTCACAGTCTGTAACCTCACATCTTTTTAGCCAGTAACACCAATGTTTCACACAAATCCATTGTTGGTAGTACTTTGCACAGAGCTAAATTGCCATATATCCTATTAAAAACACAACAGAATCCAATATTATGGAATATGTACCTTTTGAAATCACTTTCACTACTACTGCAGAGCAATAGGGATTAAAACCTCCCCCAAGCTTTGCAAATACATCCCTCTCTCCTACATGCACATACACAAAGCCAGCCAATTCCCTGCCCAGCTATACATGGCAGCAAACTGCATGTCATTTTTATGCCACCCATCATCAGTAGGAGCCTATAGAGCTAAAAAGACAGTTGTGTATACAGGCTGGCATTCCCATTCTCTGCCTCTAAATGGCTGTCATCTAAGTCAAAATAAAAAAAAAAAAAAAAAGAGAGAAGGAAAAAAAGCCCCAACAATAAACATAAACTAAAATATTGCCAAAGAGGGGATAAACTTTTTTTAGTCCAAGAAAAGGGTGAAGGAAGAGAGCTATCACAAAGTTGTTAATACAGTTGATACTGAGCCTGAAAATCACACTCAGGGGGGAACCTTAACCAAAAGGGAAAAATCAGTGACAAATAAGAAGGGTTCTACACCTCTACACTAGAGTTCCAACCAAGTAAGACTACTAGAAAAAACCAAAGTAGTAGGGCTTTGCCAGGTCTTACATGAAATTTTTACATGTTACCTCATTCACAAGTGTTCAAAATTTGAACACTCAAAATACCCTTAGGTTTTAATCAGAAATGTTTAAAAGATGAAAAGACTTTACTCTGCAAAAAAATGCTTATGGTTTAATGGAGGTGGCATTCTCATTCAAGTAGTCCTACACCTTTATAAAGACAATAAAAACATATATGGCAATAGAAGCAAACATCAAAGACCTTACCCATCTACTTAAGATTAACTACTATGAGGAAAACATCAAACATCTTCTTCCCCACTACAAACTTATTAGTTCTATAAGAAAATTTTTTCTTAAAGCACTAAACTGTTTGAATATGATGATGAAATCTCTTCAGTGGAATGCTGTTCCACAGTGCTTATGTCTCAAACAGCACAGGAGAGTACAACAAAACTAAGAAAAGGAATAGCCATGGCCTGAAACATATATGGCAACCAAAACTACTTAAAAGACAATCTTAAGATAGGGTATGCTTTAAATTGGTCAAAATTATCTTTACTTTGCTATGAAACATAATATAAAGGGATTCAAAGCATAATCTGAAGGGATTTTCACAAACACTTTCAAGAACTACTGTCAACTTTAATATAGTAATAAACGCTCTGTTTAATAACTAAATTGGAATATTATGGCTTTCCTTAATAAAAAATCAGTGCTGATTGAGTGTTACATGAATACCAATTAATCACTGTAGGTAAATTCAGCTCTGTGCCAGTAAGTCCTATCAAAATTTTTATAGATTCTTCTGCATCTAACAAAGCTAGTGTCACTCTTCATATTAGCTGCTTCTTTCCTAGAGGCAGTTAACAATGACAAATTTATCATTACACTGAAACTCAGTTCTTTCCTCTCAGCAAATCTTTGTACCTTTAAAAACACTTAGCTTCGCATAAGTATTTTTTTCAAGGTACCAAGTACAAGAGTTAAAAACTATTACAGAATGTTATTTGACATTTGATCTGTATGACAGTACATATTTGACACATTTCTGGCAAGCAAGGCAAGAAATTTCTTCAAACAGGCAAAAGTCACAGGCTATGAACAGGAAGGGAAACGCTTGTCTGGAAAAATTAATATACTCTAATTACTCTGGAATAGGACTGTAAGGGAGAAGAGTGTCACTGAGGATTTGAGAGAGAGGACATATTTTTCAGGACTGAAAATTTTCCAGTTCTGCTTGCTGAATGAGGGGAAGTATTATCTGCAGGTCAAGTTTCATTAAGGTAAATGTTTTCTCTAGCAGTGCCACAGACTGTAGTAGTACCTACATAATTACCTGCTTTCCAGAGGTGCATTACTGCCAAGCACCCAGCTGTCCTGCAGCTGGACTGACTCAGGTGTGGTTTGCAGCTCGGCGGGCAAAGCAGCCGGCGGGGCCGGACTCTGATTCCTCCTATTTGTCAGTGAGTTTCTGTTAAGTGAGGTGATGGATGGGTGATGCTGCGCTGAATGTTGCTTGTGAGAAGGTGGCAAAGGCTGCAGGGTCGACTGGCCTTGGTTATTTGGAGGTTGCTCTAAGAAGAAAGAAAATTAAAGTTCGTTATACATCTTGGCATTTGCACAACCAAAGCAGAATGAGAAATTCAATATAATCCTATCATCTAATATATTTGCATATTATTCTATTAGCAGACATGCAGTGACATTCTGTAAGAGCAAGTTTACCCTTGATACACCAAGTTCTAATTAATACACAACAGATGGTAAAATTGCTTTTGGTTTTAATTTGTTTCAGTTTTTTTTTTTAATCTGGTTTTATTAACACCTACAGAAAATAGCATCTGACAGATCCCCTAATGCGCCTTTAGACTTCAGCTTTTTTTAACAAACCAACCCTGAAATTAAATGGGTAATTTCAGTAGAACACAAAGGTTTTCAAAATGCATATAATCCCTATAATTATTTAATGGAGATTTTAAGCTTTATTTAACTGCAATAAATTATTACAAGCTAGTTGCTAAACAGCAGTAGACTACTCTAGTTTAGTGCATTTCAAATAAGGCAGATCTGCACTATGATCTGCTAATAGATGCTAAGTATTCTTTAGCAGAAGGTCACTCTGTGAAGCAGATGTTGCTTCATGGATATTTAACAGACTGATTCACATCTGATTACAACGTCAGAAGACTCATATACTTAATGACCATCACATCCATTACAACACACACAGAACAGATTTTCCAATTTCACACCATGCAATATAAATACAGCTTGGAGGAAATCACAGGTGATAAGAGAGTCAGGCCATCGAAACAAAAAGAAATATTTTCTGACTTAACCAAAGCACACAACACCCATAAAGCTTAAACTCAAAATCTGAAAACAGCAAAACCTGCAATTAAATATCTCTGTCAATGTTAGGTTTTAGCAATCTGTTCCATAAAATCACTGGCAAATAAGTCATAAATATAGGACAAACACTTTACAACACAATGCACAAAAACTAACTCCTAAACACGTAACATTTAACAATTATGTAATTAAAATTGCAATCTATTTCTTACACTAATGTAGTAGAACATACTTCATAATATAAATGCAAGTGTAAAGCAGAGCAGAAGACACAGGACATGTACTTCTCTCACAGTGCAAAAGCTTTCAGGTAGTTTTTTAATTAGTTGTTTGATTTCCATAAGGAATTCCCTTTTGAAACTGGTTATAATTGCAAATTGTTACAAACTCAATAATAAAACTCTGGTACAGAGAACACAGGGAAAGTATTTCTGTTGAAACAGATGTTTCCAACAACATACAGGTGACTCCTACAAAATTAACTTAACTGTGAGCAATTTCTGAGGTTGTGAACACAAGACAACAGGAAAATGTTAAGAAATAGACTTAAACAGAAAAACCAAGTCTTTGGAATAATTTCCTTTTTGAGAACCACATTCTTCTTTCCAGTGATTTTGTGTGGTCAGCACGACTTCTGTCGCAAACAACAGCAACGCTGAATCTCTCATTAAAAGAACAACAGCATTTATACTGCTAGTGAGATTTTCAACACCAAATCCCTAATGTATTAATGCAAAATTCCAGTCCAGGTAGGATACAACCGATAAACTTTATCTCCACCAACACTGACACAAAGGCTGTCACTCCATGTGATTACAATCACTGGCAAGGGCTTTAAGCCACCTTTCAACAAGCCAGCTGAAGAAACTTAACAGACCAACACTAGAGCAAAGAATTTTCCCCATATCTCTTAAAATTTTATCTGATTTAGATAACAAGCTGGTGCTATTTATCAGCTGGTGCAAAATTAACTGTGGCCTTATATTTTGTAAAACATAGGCACATGTGTGTATAAAAAATTATATATGTGCACGTGTCTAAGTATTTACACACATGTATATGCAAATATATAAATTATTAATGACACTAATTAATTACAAAAATTACAGAAAAATGGCAGGTGGAATGAAGTAATTCACATGAGTTTATTTTAATTGGATAGATAAATTAATTTAAATAGTTCTTAGGATCAGACTTTTCTTTTTTATTCCCCTTTTTGACTCTCCTACCAGCCTAGCCTTTTTGGACAGTTTTGCCATGATCAGTGCAAAACTCTCTTACACTGCAGCTCCTATCAGCTGAAATGTTATCCTGACATCCCTCTTGTTCATTAATTTCTCTTCTCATTTACAGTCTCTGCTGAAAATCAATCTTTCAGTCTATCATTTTAAGTACTAAAGGTCTTGCAGCATTCTCTGCTAAAGACAAAGTGGAGAATTGATCATCATTGTTCTCTTGCACAAAGGAGGGTGTGAGCGCCAGGCTTTGTCTCAGGTAGATGTCACACCTTCCCACACACTCTAACCCATGATGGAGAGTGAAGGTTCTGTAAAGAGAATTTATATACTCCACAAATAAATGCATAGAGTTCATAATTAATCTCAAAACACGCTGGAAGAATGAAATTGGATTACTCAGACCACAGGCCAGCTACGCAGGCCACTATTTGGGATTTAGATTATTTCCCTATAAATTTACTGTGAACCAAAAGACCCTTCTGCTAAATAACATACAAACTTGACTAACTGAAGACACAGAGGAACATATAAAAGAAGTTAAGAGAGGCTAGAAGGGAGCTAGAAGGCCATCCAAGTGTGATTTTGCAAAGATCACTTGTCTTCCAATCCCATTTTCTCCCTACAGAATGTTGACAAGTGACATTTTCTTGTGTCTGAGGGTGGCTTCAGTTGGAAAGGAATGCACAGCTTCCTCAAAATCAAAAATGCCTGAAAAATCTGGAATGATTTATTTCTTTTCTAATTGTGCAAAAGCTACAGGTAGAGCTGCACTTAACAAGGTTAGATTTTCCATAAATCAACAGAGTTAAAATCTATACTCCTCTAAATTTACTCCATCCTACGCCGTCATTCTGAGTGAGAGATCACTGAGGACTGCTTTTTGGATCTTTTCTCCAACCTGCCAGATTTCCCCAATACACAGTCCTTTGATTGCTGCACAATTTCTAACAAAAACCTAATGTTGCACCACTGATTTGTGAGGAAGAATCAGCACAATAGTCATGTTTTGAATGCCATTCTTAAGCTGGAGCCAGATTTCCTTTTTTACTCCTTTCAGGAGTTAAGAGTTAAAGAACAGCTTTCAGTATTCCTGAGGCTTTCACACAAAGCTATCAGTCTTATGGAGTAAGAACCTCTCAACATCCCCGCGACACTGAAAATATTCCCACAGCAAATGCAGGGAAACTGAGGCACGTATGTTAAGTGATTCACACTGCTGTCCTGAGAAATCAGCATTACTGTCAGAATAGTTCCAGTTTTCTTGCTTTTCCTACTTAACAAGTTTAGAAGTAGAGTGGGATAACGCGATATGTACTTCATAAAATCTGCAGCACTGGACACTACTCGCTGTAATAACAGCCCTCCGTGTGCTGCAATATCGAGTGTCAAGACCCTGTAACTTCTCTTTCCTCCCTATCAACCACTGGAATCCTAGAGGGAAATATATCTTCCCTTGCTTATTGAAAAGACAGCAGCCCTGGGACTTGGCCAGCTCCCTCACAACAACCCACTTATTAGAAGAAAAAGCATTCAAATTTGATAAAGTACAATTAGGTTGAAATGCTTAAAAACTATTCCAGAGAGGAACAGTTGCTTTGCTTTAAATTGGATTTTAAAAGCTATCTTAATTGATTTAATCTAAATGGCAATGTCTAATTTACTCTAAAATTAAGCAGATATGGGTAGGTACAGGTAGGTTTAGGTCTAAAGATGTAAAGTTTTAATTATAACATTCCTGTTTGGTTTAGACCTTAATGACTGTAGAGCAATCCCATTCATCTTAAAGAGAAGATTTCTGCAGCAAGAAGCAAACGTAAACTGGCCCAGCAACCAGTCTGTCAAAGTTCTTCAGGTGCAACAAACAAACTCCACACTTTTAAGGCATTTCTTGAGTAAGTCAAGATCAGATAATTATGTGTGTGAACATATGCACAGAACTCCGAAAAGTCACAAGAAATTGGGTAGAAAGCTGTCTTACTACAGTTACATGATTTTTTTCAAAGCGTATTTAAATTGTTATTTTCCCTGGGGAATCACAGTGAAGCAAAGGAGCCATTTCAACTGCAGAGGTAAATGATATGCAGTTTTGTAGCCTTTCACAAAACCTTTTCGTCTTTTATTTTTCAAAAAGTAATCTACATTTAATTAATTTCATCATTTAATTGTTACAAAATTTTAACAGCATAAGAAGGAGAGACTTTTGATACCTACAGCCATGCGGGGGAAAGGGGCTAATTCAGAGGCAGAAAAGCAGACCAAGCATCCATGACAAAAAGTAATTTGTTTCATATTTTGTGTCTTTCTATAAGAGATAGATCATTGAGACCTGTCAGCTAGCTACTCATCTAAGAAAAAGAGAGGTGATTTCCATTTGATAAGGATTAGGCTTTTAAACAGAGTATAACTAATGTGAACTTAGATTCCCATGACAAACACAAAAGCAAAGTCTTCCATTATGATATAAACATTTCAAATGTGAACAAAATGTTATTCAATATCTATGTCTATGAGAGTCAACTCTTTCTGGTCAGGCTGCTCCTTTTCTATTCTCTCTTTACAAAAGTCTCTGCCACGGTAAAGGAAATATCCTTAACACATACTGGATGTAAGAATCTGGAGTAGACAATGTTTTAGAAAATGCATGAAATGTTCAGAAAACTTTAAAAGAATACAACCTTTTGTTTGCAGCCACTGGTCCCGGATCTGCTAGCCCTTGATTGCTAGCAGTAAAAATAATTTCTATAAGACCTGGTTTGATTTCCTCAATAAAACCCTTCAATGGACTTGAAATTTTACCTAACTGACATATGGTCACATCTCCAAAAGCACTGTAAGCAGTAGTGGGATTTACCTCAGAAGTCCCTGCAAATTGAAAAGAGCAGGCATTATGGCTTAATTATTCCTAGAGCTCCCAAAGGAGCTCATTTTTAGGTTCCTGCTTATGGAGGGGCAAGACAGGCTACCTGCACCGCTACGGCCACAGC